CACGCCTAACAGTATCCTTCGAGACTTAAAGACAGCTCCCGCGATAAAAGTCTCATGGATAGCTGCTTTCCAATTATGAAACAGTAGCTGATAAGTAATCTCCCAAAGAAGAAAACAGGCAAGAAGCGTTCTCCAGAACAACATAAACAAAATCGCTCCCTCACAGTCACACCTCCCTGCGGTCTCTGTGCAACCCCTAGCTCACAAATCTCTCTATCACATCTCGCAGTAGTTGATATCATCCAGTGCAAAAAAAGAATACAAAAAGAAAACAACAAAAACGCAGAGGAAAAACTCTTGGAAGGAAAAAGGAATTTTATCAACGCGGTGTCTGAATTTGGGATTACGGTAGCGCACGTTTTGTGCGTCGAGGTTTTGCATCACGAAAATTGCGTCACTCGTGCTTTTTACGCGTTTCACCTCGCGAAATGAGTTGAATTGAATGTATATACCTCCAATGAGTAAACTGTAATAAAGGGGAGCAGAATTATCCATGGGCATTAGCAATGCCCGCCGCCCCGACTAAGAACAACTGAGTGGCCTCCGTCGGAGGACATCTAGCAAGTAAGGCGGTCCAACTGAGCAGGCGTTAGAACTAGAACTTACAGCGGCTGTAGCTCGCTTCTCGCTCGCTGTGCAGACGAATAGAGTGGGACAGTCTCTAGCTTGGGGGCTGTACTACTTGCACAAGGAAGGACGACCATGTACTACTCGAGCGCGGGGGCTGTCTTTAATTGAGTGGCTTGCCGTGCTGCAGCGCAAGCGCATCACCACCCTCCGGCCTCGTTCCCGCGCACCTATCAACGGAGAAAGCGCCTAAATCACCAAAATCGATTGAAAGTTCCGGCGAATCGGTGTGATATTCGTGCTCCGGAGGTCGAAGTACCACTGTAAGCAAATATTCAGCGGATGTTATATATAAATACCACCAATCACGCCGTGCGATTGCGTACTCACTGCTTCTACCGTAGTCCACGTCTCATGCATATTCACACTGTGGCTACTGCGCCAACTATAATGAAGTAAAGGCAAAGAAAATGGCTGTGATTGTGCCAAAAGGGATAGTAAACGTTCGATTTTGTATCATAAATTTATCTTTAATTGGTTCAATCATTGGCACTTGTACTTCAGACCCTTTGCTAGTAGAGGATGCACTCCTCAAGTCAAACCGAGACTCATGATTGTTATAACGTGCTTAAAAGAGATTATCTCGTGGTCAAGATGCCTAGCGTGTTGCAATAATGCGTTTGCACTGTCCTCTTTCCTGTTACAGTGCAAGCGTGAGTGAAGGGGAGGCGGGGAGGGGGGGGGGAGCCACGGTCAAGTGCTTCGAGGAAATCGCGACGAAGGGGTCGTATGTTGCGTGAAGGCAGAGGGGGTGGGGTCGTAAGTACAGGCGTCAATAATGAGCAAAGCTGTGGCAGAACTAGTGAAGCACTGCATCGCTTTCGTGCCTCGCCGTGGAGTGCCGTAACTCCGTCGGATTGCAATTTCATGATAAATTGATGTAGTGTAAATGAAACTACATAGCTATTATAGAAAGTGATGCTTGTCTAAGTATGATAACGGAACCATCAGCTGTACGACAAGGTTGTTCTTTCTATATAAAGCGCGTATTCTATGGGTCCATATTTCTATGTCACTGTGATCTTGCAAGACGAACAAGTGGCGCGTTACATAGGAAGGTTGATCACGCTCCTGTGCTTCAAGTTTCA